TATGATCTGTCATTCATGTTGAATGCGCCGATTCGAGTAACTATGTAGAAGAATGTAGACTATATATAACTATAGGTGGCGTATAACAGTAAGCCTCCGCGATTGTTAACCGCGATTGTTGCACTACTTCGTCTCTAGAAAAGGCCTTTTTTGGCATTTTTTTTCGCCGAAATTCGGCACTAGAGTGCAATAATTAGCATTATGCACGCAAGGTGGATGCCTCGTGGACGTCGAGAAAGCATTAGAAGTAAAATTATTCTTGTTGTGTATTCGTGACATTCCGTCAGGTGGCGTAGTCACAGCGACCGGTTGGTGTTTTTTGTGTATGAAATGTGTTCAGACAACTTTGCAGAAATTCGCATCATAGAGCTGGCAAAAGTTTCGAGGGGAGCATAGAGCATGAATCTGTAGTTATTTAACATGAATAAAGTGTATGTTTTGTAAGTGCAGTAACAGTGTGAGTATTTTTAATTAATTTCTGTTCGATGCTTATTCAGGCCTGCAGCCTATGGACGGCCTCTACTGTTGTTCAACACCTATATATAGATTGACTGGATGGAAGATAGCAGTGTGGGACCATTGATTGCATAGTGGCGACATCTGCAGTAACCAAACACAATCTTTGTTTCGTTTTATGTTGTTCAACAAAACAGTATTATATATATTTCTGTACTGACATAAAAGCTATCTTGTTTCTACCATCATTGTTGCACTGCACATTGTCACGCCCTTTGTTACCAGATCCTAAAGCACAAGCACATACACGAATCTTTCTGAAGAATATCACTAAGAGTTTCCATAATCCCAACCCCACAATATACAACCTACAATCGTTTATCAGCAATTCCAAAATTCGAAAAGCTCTGAAATCCGTTTAATTCGTTCCGAAAATAGTTCATTCGTGGCGTGCCATTCGTATTCCGTAGTTCGCTACAGAAATATTGATGCGTTTATTTCTGATTTCTCCTATATAATATATGCTATACACTTGCATATGAAATTAATTTATGCCCAGTTTCTTTTCAAAAGAAATACTATTTCATTGAAATTATTCATTTAAGCAGAAAGTACATACTGACTGGTCGTGTGTCGTAAAAATAGTAGTTCGTACTTTCGCGCAAGTTGCGTAGAACGAGTTGATATATTAAACATCTTCCAACAGATGTCGCCACGTTCACATACATATGCCACTGGATTGCTAAAGGTGGCGTACAACGCAAAAGGCAATCGGGAACCCTCGGACCATTCAACAGAATAGCGTTCCATTCAACAGAAACTCTTTTCTAAGAATGACGGGAAGGGTCGAATGGGTTTTCCGATTCGACTGTACAAAATTTAATTAATTTTGTTTTTAATAGGGTTAGGGTTATTTTTTAGAGTTAGGGTTAGGGTTAGGGTTAGGGTCACAATGCACCTTAAAACAGGAGTTTGAGTCCGTACGGACGTGACGTCACTTGAGCGACGAAGCAAGCTTTCAACCTTTTGCGCGTACAACAGTAAGCCTCCGCTTCAACGTTCTCCGTTTCTAAGTTTACCGTTCGTTCGTTGCACTATTTCGTCTCTAGAAAAAACATTTTTTGGCATTTCTTTTCGCTGAAATTCAGCACTAGATTGCAATAATTTGCATAATGCACGCAAGTTAGATGCATCGTGGACGTATAGAAAGCATTAGAAGTAAAATTGGTCTTGTTGTGTACTCGTGACATGTCGTCAGGTGGCGTAGCCGCAGCGACCGGCTGGTGATTTTTGTGTATGAAATGTGTTCAGAAAACTTTGCAGAAATTCGCGTCATAGAGCTGGCAAAAGTTTTGAGTGGAGCATAGAGCATGAATCGGTAGTTATTTAACATGAATAAAGTGTATGTTTTGTAAGTGCAGTAACAGTGTGATTATTTTAAATTAATTTCTGTTCGATGCTTATTCAGGCCTGCCGCCTATGGACGCCCTCTACTGTTGTTCAGCACCTATACGTGCATTATCCCGCACATTCGTGTTGTATTGTGTGTACGTGTACATTGTGCGTTGTAATTAATCGGTGGCGCTTATAGTCAGGCATGAGCCTATGGGGGGCCAACGGTAAAAATATTATTTAGCAAATTATTTAGCGTATAAAGTCATTATTTACTAAATATGCTTTAATAGTTAGGATAGAATAATAATGATTATACTGGTTCAAGTAATTAATGTTATTGTGCTAAATATATACATCATTGTTAACATAATAATATATTATTTATTATATAAAGACATTATTTAACATATAATATATTATTTAACATATAATATATTATATAATTAAATAATACATTATTTAACATATAATATATTATATATTATATAATATATAATATATTATATGTTAAATAATGTATTATATAATTATATAATATATTATATAATTATATAATATATTATATAATTATATAATTATATAATATATTATATAATTATATAATACATTATTTAACATATAATATATTATATAATTATATATATTATATAATTATATAATATATTATATGTTAAATAATGTATTATATAATTATATAATATATTATATGTTAAATAATGTATTATATAATTATATAATATATTATATAATTATATAATATATTATACAATATATAATATATAATATATTAATGTAATAACATTATAAATTATATAATATATTATATGACACGTGACCACTATTAAATCACTACCGGTTCATTACCCTGTTAGGTTAGAGGATGTGACGCGTCATCGCCGACCAATCGGAGTGCCCCGCAGCTCGTGCACTAAAGCTGACGCGACGTTTTGTGGCTGCATTATTTAGGCTGCTATCGTGTGTGAGTAATGACATACACATTGAAATGGGTGGATGGTTACTGGTAATTTAAAACGAATTCTTTCAATGTATGGCTCCCATTGGACTGCGGCGACTGTTTTTCAGGCACAAATGTGGTGTCGTTGTAAATTCCGCGATATTTTTTTAAAACACCGGACAACATATGTCATAACTCTAATGGTGCACAGCTGAAGTACATGCTACCTAGCTTTAATATTGCCACTTGGCCGAAAACGGTCGAAATACTATTTTTCAGCTCTCTGAAATTAATTCTAAGTATAGAATCCTATGGAGGATTTAATAGTGGTCTGTTCTCTGTCACACTGAAAAAAATGTTTCGGAAATTTTCACATTTTCAAATATTAATGACTGCGAGTGCGGCGGGCAGTTAATTTTCACTCGTTTTCTCGCAGCCTACTGGCTGTGCAGAAAGTCCGTAGAGTGTCATTTATTGTGTAGATTGCGCTAAAGTTGGACTCGGAGAAGTTAATGTGTGAGTTGAGAACAAATCTGGTGACATTTTCTAGTGAAGGAACAGCACATTTAGCAAATAGAAACTTTTGATTGCAAATAACGAATTCATTCTAGTTCGTACTACTAACGTCAATACTGTATACTTAAGCCTAGCTCTCGGTCAAATTTTAGTCATGGCAATACTAGGCTTAACCCTATACCTAACCCTTGTTACCCCCCCCCAACACACACACACACAGACAGACACAGTCGAAGGTCCCTGCTTTCGTTAAATCTCATCGTCGCGGCTAATAGTCTGCGAATAGTCCTGCTATTGCTAAATTCTACTGCTAAGACGTTGTACTTGTAATCATTGTATCAGGTTTTCTTTCTAATTCTGTCATTGAATGTCAATCCTATGATATTTTTAGGGAGCTGAGGTTGCATGATCGTATGATTTCCAGTCGTTGCATCTACCAGTCCACCCAAGGAGGCCTATAGAAATCGATATATCGGCACGCAGCGTAATTACCGGCATAAAGAGACACTGCGAATTCAAGAACGATGCTTGGGTACAATTCTCATACACATTCGTGTCTGCCACAAATTAATTAGCATTGTTTATTGCGTGAAAAGTGGCTTTCGTGGCTACCACTGAACACTCTGTGGCCCAGTATTTGTCCATCTGCTGGTCTGTTGCACCCATTCAAGCATCAGCTAGAAGAATTTTGCATGAGTTACAGCCTTGAAAATAAACTTGTCGAGATGTATTGTTTTATTAGAACAAGTCTTAGTATAAAAACGGTCCATGGTGTCGATCGCTTCGCCAATAGTGTCTATCCACAGCAAAGTGGAACAATGAAAGCGATGATTTTTGTTGGTGAACCAACTTGGATTCGCCTAATCTCCAAAACTGATTGTCGCCTTTGCACAAATTCTATTCCAAATGAAGCGTAAATGCCTATTCTTGAGATATGATCAAAAATGCCTCCAACCATCATTGTTGGAGCGCGTAAATAGAACGTCTACCAATAGCACTATGATGTGATAGCGCCACCTGGTGTACAATTCCCACAGCCGTTTGAATCTCTATAAAAAAATAACCGATTGCTTCCGAGTGCTAATTTTTGGCATAGCAGACAACAAGACATGCCGCGTTCGTTTAGCATCAAATTTGACAAAAAAGCCCTTTTATTTTCAGAAAAATATTCAATCTAATGCAAAATTTGACCCGTTTTTTATGTCCGATCATGTGGCATTCTAAATTACCGAGAAATCGTTTTCGACGTGCGATTTAAAAAAAAAATTTTTATTGATCACATAGAATATCAAGTTTCGCATAGGTGAATGCAATTTTATTCAATGTAAATCATTCTGTTCAACTTTAGCGACTATTCAAACTATGCACCGACTTGGCATTCGCAAAGCAGCACGGCACCAGAACCGCCTTGAAGCCGGGAGGGTGGGGTCGAAGAAATCGGAAAAAACCGGAACAGACAAATTAAACAAAAATTTTGCACCCGTGTGCAGCGGTGTTTGTCGGAACGAATTTTATTGCCGTTTGACAGATTCCGAGAAAAAAAAAACGTTTCTATACAGACACGTGACCACTATTAAATCACTACGGTTCATTACCCTGTTAGGTTAGAGGATGTGACGGCGTCATCGGCGCGCAAATCGGAGTGCCGCGCAGCTCGTGCACTAAAGCTGACGCGACGTTTTGTGGTGCATTATTTAGGCTGGCTATCGTGTGTGGCAATGACATACACATTGAAATGGGTGGATGGTTACTGGTAATTAAAACGAATTCTTTCAATGTATGGTCCCCATTGCTGCGCGACTGTTTTTCAGGCACAAAATGTGGTGTCGTTTAGTAAATTCGCGATATTTTTTTTAAAACGCCAGACAACATATGTCATAACTCTAATGGTGCACAGCTGAAGTACATGCTACCTAGCTTTAATATTGCGCACTTGGCCGAAAACGGTCGAAATACTATTTTTCAGCTCCTGAAATTCAATTCTTAAGTATAGGATCCAATGGAGGATTTAATAGTGGTCTGTTCTCATATAATATATATAATAATTATATAAATAAATAAAACATTATTTTAACATATATATATTAATATATTATATTTATCGGATAATCACTATCTTAGTTCCCGTCCTCATTCAGACGGGTTCGAGTGGGGTCTGACTTGAGGATGTACGGTTTAGACAAATTTATCTCTCACTTTATTGAGGATGTTATTTAGCAGTTAACAGAAAAATACTGATATTTAGACTCGATGATAGTACGCAAGTAATTTGTTTTAAAAAAAATTGTAATCGTAAATATATATAGAATTGAATTTTTAGAAGAAGAACTGTAGAAATTTTTAGAAAGTAGGGAGGAATTGTTTAGGAGAATCGGAGTGGATTCATAGAAGCAATTTTACCTTAATTTAGAATATTGTTATTGAGAAAATATAGATTCTGGTTAGAAGCGATTCAATATAAGTCAAATTCTTTAAAAAACAGCCAAAGATTGCATGGAGAGAGTTTTTGAAATGATATATTTCTGTAAAGCTGCAGTGGACGCGGGGCGCAGGGTTACATCGCCCGTTGTCAAATATTCAGCACACGGCGCACAGCGCACGCATACACACAACAGCACGCGCGGCACGCACGCACACACCGCATTCCACGTACACACTACGGGCTGCGCAGCGCACAATCACGACGCGCACGAGGACCACGCAGCGCGACATACCAATTTACACACACAGTCGTGAGTGGGGTCGGCGCGCGAGCACACAACCGGGGTACACTCACAGCGGATTTGGAGGCGTGCACAATGCACACGCACACACAGTGTGGACATATTCGCATACATACAGTTACATACAGCACACGCGAGACGCAACACGCACACGCACACGTTGGGTGGGCCACACGCACATGCGACACGACACGCACTACGCAACACGCACGAACGCACATGTACAGCACGGCCGACACGCACACACGCACACAGTTACCCGAGGCGCAACACACACATACACACACAATACAACTGCAGCTGTATCTACGTTGGGTTTGTCGTAAATTTTTCGCTTCAGCAGCCGTCGCGCAGTGGGATTGGGCTGATTTATCCACCGCAGCCGGCAATGTCTTGTGGTGTGTGGTGGTGTGTGTGTGTGTGTGTGTGTGTGGTGGCGTGCGTGTGTGGTGGTGTGTGTGGTGTGTGTGTTGTGTGTGTGTGTGGTGTGTGTAGCGTGCGGTGTGCCGTGCGTGACGTGCGGTTTAGTGTGGCCTTGCCATGGCTAGGTGAAGGCTCCACCTAATTTAAAGGGCTTATGTTTACCTTGATTCTACAAGTTAGTAATAGTGGCTATATTACACTTAGAAACGTACCCCGTGAGAAAACAGATTAATAGTTCAGACACAATTTCAAAAGGTTATGGTATATATATAGGTGTGGTAATGTGTGTGCTCTTAGACAAATCTAAACCGGCGTTATAAAATTGTCAGAGCATTGGGAGCCGGTAAAGCGCGGGCCACGAGTTAACACGGTCCCGTTTACCAAATGTTTAGCACACACGCCGCGACGGCACGTACGTCACGCGTATTCACACACATACGGGCATGCGCACGCACCAATCAACAACGCGCAACCCACGCACACACATACGACACATTTTACACACATCCACAGGCGTCGCCACACAACCATACACGTCCTAAACTGCACAGCGCACGCACGCAGCGCACGGCAACGCACCACCACCCACATCACACCACACCACACACAACACACACATACAACTTCAAGCCGTCTCTCGCTTGGGGTTTCTCTAAATTTCGCCTCACAGCTGTGGCGCGGCAGTGCTTGCTTTGTTTATACACCGCAGCGCAATCGCAGCCGCGTCGACGCCGTGATTAAACGTGACGTTGGCGGGTAGCAGGTGATTCCACCATGCTCTGATGTGGACTGCGCATGCGGATTTGGGCGATCTTAAAAGTTTGGTGCGCTGGTGATTTAACGTACGTCTGCTTTGGGGCGGGTTTCCCGATGAAATGCGAAGTTTCTAATGCGGGCGGCAATAACTGTTTAGAAAGTTGCCATAACAACAAAGTCAGTTTACGATGGAAAGAATGGCGTTCTAAACGTAGCGGAATCTAGTCGCGCCGCCCAGAGGAGCCCGCCACTCGTTCGCGCGAGCGAACGACCGCGGTCACGTTTCGGAGGAATCGTAAAACGACACCTTCCGCTCCTATTCCACTATTATAATAGTAGATATTAAACATGTTAAATAGATGTATTTATTTAATTATATAATTATTATATTATATGTTAGATATAATGTATTATTTGAATTATATAAATATGATTATAGATGTTAAATTAAAGAATATTTATTTATATAGATATATCTTATTTATTATATAGAAGGTCATTACTTTTAGTTAAATAATGACTTTATATCGCTAAATACTGTGCTAAATATATTTTTAACGCGGTTGGCAACCCCATATGAGCCAGGCGAGCAAGGGTGTGCGTGCGTGTAACGTGCACGGTGTGTGCGTGTGTGTGGCGTAGGTCATTACATGTACGCGTGCAGTGCGTGGGTGTGGCAGCGTACACGTGGTGATGGTTCGCTGTGCACGCTACATGTGCGGTGCAGTGCGTGTGGCACGTACTCGTGCGTGCATGCGTGCGTGGTGCGTGTGATACGTACATTGTGCGTGCAATGCGTAACGGGTGTGCGTGCGTGCGTGCATGTGTACGTACACATGCGTGCATGCGTGCGTGTAAACGTGCACGTGTGTGCGTGCGTGTGCGTGTGGTCATACATGTACGTGCATGCGTGCGTGTGCAGGTACACGTGTGTGCATGCGTGCGTGCGTGCGTGCGTGCGTGCGTGCGTGCGTGTGCACGTCCACGTGTATGGGTGCGTGTGCACGTCCACGTGTATGGGTGCGTGCGTGCGTGCGTGCGTGTGCACGTACATGTGCGCACGTAAAAGCGTGTGCGTGCGTGTGTGCGTGCGTGCGTGCATGCGTACGTGTGTGCATGCGTCCATATGTGAAGTGGGTGTTTATTCTTTTGTGTGTGCTGAGGAGTTATGTAATATGTTTATTGAGATTCACGGTGATACTAGTGGTGCATACGAAATATAGCCAAGTACCTGGTACCAGATACTGGTACCTCGTACTAGAGACACCTGGCCTCGATTATTTACCAATTACCAGCTGAACGTTGCCACTGGCATTGTGACCATTGTCGTGTTATAATTATACTGCTCTGTAGCGATAAATGCTGTCAATGATAACACTAACAGTTGTTTTTATAATCTAGACTGCATGGAATACGCAAGAAAACTACTGCGAACCTCAAAGTCAAAATGAGCTAATATAACTAATGTTTATAAGCCATTTTCGATATTACACTTCCTTAAAAGTGTGCTAGTATAGTCAGCCTCTCTGAAGCGATCGCTGCAGACTTTACGAAGGCATTTTAACTTGGTTATATCGCTATGACGATACGATCGGCTATTCGTGATTCCTGTATCTTTCCAACTGACCGGTTGATTGCGCAATCGTTGTAACACCTCTAACTCCCGCTGCGCCACCTGCTGACAAAGCTAGCGGCTAACCCCATTGTCCTGTTCGTTGTTCGTTGTTGTTTTTGTAATGACACGAGACGCGTCTCCTAGCCCCGCAAGATCCGGCCGATACTGACGAAGAACCGGTCGGATCCAAATGTCGCCGGACCATTTTGGAAATGATATAAATAGAGACGCTTGGACAGAGTGTTAGATAGAAATCGAGTTACGGAGGTTACCTACCCAGGAGGGGTTACCTACCATGATGTAGAGAGATTGAGACGACGGGACCTAGGCACGGTCACCCACCTAGGTTGCATGTATATATTTTGTATGTGTTCGAGTTTTCTAATAAAGTCCAAGTGAAACAACTAATCTGCGACTACGGCTCTACCTCTGCTATCTACGTTGCCACAATCTGCTAATTACTAAAGTCTACGCTGTCGACGCTATGGAACTACACGGAAACTACAACCATTTCACAGTACAATAATTGGTGGAGGATGCAAAGATCGATCTGCATTCGCTTCGCTAATCCCTCAGATAAAGAAGAAGCATACGAAGAAGGAGAAGAAGATTTCGCATTCGCTACGTACGCTATGCCAATCCCCCAGATGATAAAGAAGAAGAGACAGAGAAGAAGAGCGTCGGGAGAGAAGAAGAGCGAGGGAGGAAGAAAATGGAGAGGCAGCCATCTCCGGACCCGACGCTCTCGCACCGGACAAAGCGGCAGCCATGTTGTCATGTCCTCCAAGCTCGACAGAGCCCGCGCAGAGCAAGGTCGAGGAGCAAAAGAAGAAGAAGACTAACACGGCGACGACACCTAGGGTAAGTTACATCGTATTTTCACTGTATACATATAGCCACAAATTCGGAAATAATTATTAACAGTAAAATAGTTCGCGAATTGCCGAGCAGCGCGCGAATCTTTCGTAGTTAAAGCTAGCGTGGTACTCGAATTTCATTGTACGGCGTGACGGTGACTCAAAGCGTCGGAAGAAAAGATGTATGATATAGTATTAAGCCTATGCGATGAGAAAGGCGAGACGCCTAGCCGCTTCTAAAGTATGACCTCGAACGTGGCCAATAGGGTAAGCTGAAATTAGTGTCCCTGCCAACAGAGGCATACTACGGTACAAACTTACCATAGTGCGTAATATAGATATTAAGGTGACGAACGAGCTTAAACAGCTCCACCCGGGAATGGGTACGTCCGATTTCGTCACGCGTCGCGTCATTTTTGAGTCACGGCTGCTAGCCGATACCATTTGGTCGATACCACAACATAGCGAAACCACAAATTCAAATTTTTAATAAACAAAGAATTGGCTATGAACCTGTGTTTACGATATAGCTTAGCCGGTGATATCTGTATTTTATGTTTTGTCGTTTGTTTGTTTGTTTTCTTTTGATTAACAGATTTACTAACGTGTTGTACGCGGTAAGAGGTATCCTTGTTTCGCCATCTTTCCCTAGCCTTTCCATGCCTTTTCGAGTTGAGTTACCGTTGCAGACAGTCGACCCCTTCCTGTGATACGAAAATAAGCGCTCATTTTCACTAGACAGCTGCAGCAATATCCCCCTCAACTCGTTTTAAAATCGGACTTTCCATCCCTTCTCAGACCTCAAGGATTTACCTCACCATCATGACACTGTTTGATGTTGCAGCCTTAGACTAACGTTAATGTTTTTTATATATAACTGTATTTTTGTGGGAACACGAATTATTTCGAGGGGGAAGGAAGGATTGTTGTATCGTAGGGCTGCGGGCTATAATTAGGGCTTTGCGACTAATTGTCTATAAACTTCTAACCCTATGGCAAGTCCTTGTTGTTATTTTAATGTATAACCCACCGCGCGCACCCTAACCCCATACACCCAGACGGTGATTGGCCGGGGGTCGGATTGAAATGTCGCCGGGTGGTTTTTGGGAACATAAATAGACACGGACGAAAGATCAAAAGACTTTCCTATCAAGATGTAGCGGACGAAGTCGAGACACGGGGCCTAGGCTTGGGTGCCTAGGTCGCCGTAGTGTATATATATTTGTATCATGTTTTCTAATAAAGTCAGTCTTCAAGAGCAAAATTCTGCGACTACATCATCTTTACTCGTTGCTACAATCTGCTACCATTTGCTAACTCGACGCTGCTACGATGCCGAAGCGGCGATCAACAACATTTCGCAGTACAATAATTGGTGGAGGATGCAACGATCTGCATTCGCTACGCCTCGCATCACAGGATCAGATTTTACTATGCACACGTG